GAATTAGCTTTGTTTTGCAACAGGAGGGGGGCAGTTAAAATGTAGAAGGTATAATACGTTCAGATTAAATCCATTTTTAAGCCATCTGCGATTGCAATCTGTCAAAACAGGCCTTTCACCAATTCCTTAACACATATGTGCCCTGATCTTGGTTAAATCTTAACTAGGAAAACATGGACATCACAGTAACATGGGAGGGAAAACGACTGGATGCATTTTAGTAATTTCGGAAGTCACTGCTGTGGTCTTCTCTTTGCTTCTGCTTCAGATATTGATTCATGCAGGCAAACATAAAACAGAAAACCTTTCATAGGATATGAACTGGCTCTTTCTCAGGATAGGTAGGGAACTACAGTTTTGAATCAGATCTGCTTTCCTTATATAGACATTTATCCACACTACATTTAAATGCACACCTACCTTCTCACACGATGACCAGTGCTATGTTGTCAAAGGAAACCTCCTCAGGAAACAATCCATATACAAAAGAACCTCCTCAGGAAAGCTCCTCCATTAGCATGTTCACAGCCTGGGGAACTCCTACAAGATAATAGCCCTACACCACCTTCCTGAGTAAATTACCTACCTACCATTTTTCTTCTCACCTTGACACAGAGAGTACTCCATCTTTCTGTGGTATACCTCTGAGGATGCCAGTCACAGCTACTGGCGAAACGTCAGGTCCTACAATGCCATACAACCCGGAAAATCTACAACAGCTAATGACCAGTGAATTTATGTGCAACTACATCAAAGATCAAATGAAGGCCAACAACTACCAAATAATGTCAAGCATCTGGCAAATATCTGCCCATGCAAAGAATAGTTGCAGAATATTCAACATAAACATTTTAAAAGGAGAATTTCTGGGAGACAGGTTTTCTCAGCTCTGTGAAATGTATGAGACCACTGGAGCATCTAGCCTGGAATCCCATCTACTTGTGGTGCTTGAACTGGAGGAGGACTGAACTCAAGACATTTTTTAAAAAACATGCAAGGTATGCGCTGAGCTATGGCAGCCTCTCCCCAGAGCACACGATGCTTCAGCTTATGGCAGTCACGGTAATCTACACGTCTGACAATGTCCAGTGTTGGGAAGCAGCAAGAAAATAGGGGCCATTTGATCTTTAAAAGGGTAGAGCAAAATGCGAATGGAACACAATATGTTTTCAAACACTTGCCTAGCTCCTGTTTTAATGCCCACCGGAAGACTCTCCGAAAGGGCCCATGGCTCAGATGTAGAACACACAGTAGGGTTGCCAGCCTCCAGGCGGGGCATGGAGATCTCCTGCTATCACAACAGATCTTCAGACAAGAGAGATCAGTTCCTCTGGAGAAAATGGCTGGTTTGGGGGTGGACTCTATGGTAATATATCCTTACTGAGTTCCGCCCCCTGCCCAACCCCCCCTCCCCAGGCTCCACCCCCAAATCTCCAGGTATTTCCCAATCCAGAGCTGGCAACCCAAACACACACTGGGCCATTTCTCTGACCTCTCCAGTGACAGGAGAGACCGGGTGTTGGGACAGGCCTCTCTCTCTCTCTCTGCCCGAGATCCTGCGGAGCCCCGGCCAGCCAGAGAGGCCAAGGGTCTGAACAGGACTGGACTGGAGAGACCAATGGCAGTTTCTGATGTTTGTTTCTTCTGCATAATGTGGGAAAACAGGAGGCAGACTCAAGAATTTTGTTTAAAAGAAAAAAGATCTAATTAAGAAACGGACATTTTCAGAGCAACAAAAATAAAAGCTTTTATTTGTTCATTTGAATATAAAACAGGCGTTATCACAGATGTACAAAGCGTACTGGTGGTTTAACATACAAGAAGGTTGCTGTTCTTTTGCACATAAAAATTTTTCATTTGAAACTGTGATTGGCTGAGTTGCATGAATTTCTCTAACCAGTCACCACACTCTATGAAATAACGCTGCTAACATTCAACTGATAAAAGGGACAGTCTTCCCTTGGGTAAAGTGTCAAGCAGGATTAAATATATATAATAAACAAGCACCATGAGGAATCTGCTCCTGTTTGATTCGTTTCGTGGTTAAATGTTCGTTGTGTGCCCTCCTCCTCCTCCTCCTCTTTTTCTCAGTGTGGCATGTGCATCAAGTTGATTACATGGTTTTGTCTGACTTCAAAAGCACAAGGTCACAAGACAAACATTTTATACATTCTCATGAATGGTTTTTATCTACAGTACGGTTTTCTAATACAGAACAATCCTTCTTTATTGCTGAATCTGATGGTATGTGTGTTTCTTTCCTCTCAACTTGCGGGACAGAACTAGGCATTCGGTTCATCGTCATCCTCCTAGACTGTTCTAAGGTTCAGAATTTAAACAGTCACGGACGACAGGTTGCAGAAGAGGTCCGTTATTAATGGTGTCCTACGACTGCATTGCAGTCCTCCGTCCCCTCCCCCTCCCTCCCCAGGAGTGGAAAGTTTTGACTCGGTGAAGGTTAAAAAGTGATGCTTTAAACAAAATGACAGCTAAGTTTGTGTTTTGCAGCAGTGAGATCAGCAATAGCAAGGACTTCACAAGTCAGTTCCACACACTGTTATTATTGTCATAATCAATGACTTGTCTGAACCTTACAACAACTTGACATTTTAAAGGGGGGGGAAAAGAGAGAGAGATTTTATTGGTGGGGGCAAAAACCATCTTTCAACAGAATGTTTCAGGATTGGTGTTTGGAGCATGATTTGAAATATTCACAGGGCAAGAAAAACCTTGGGAGAAAGGGGGTGATTGACAAATAAAGATTTGGTCCTGGTGAGGTGCTCTGTATTGTACACGCAGAATAAAAACCACCCCTCCTCTTTGAGGGGGGGGGGGGAAGCCGGAAAAATTAATCTGTTGGGTCTCAAAAACCGAATGAAATCCGCAAAGGTAGACAAAATATTTCCCCTGTTACGTGTTATACAAAGATCTTGTAGCTTTTGTCCTGCAACCATCTTAAGTCATGCATACTCAGTAACGAATGCCAGAAAGTGAACGTTTTTTGAACCAGAACAAGACAAAAGAAAAGCATTCTTGGCCTGTTCCTGCTCAGACTTCACCCTCAAAGCAGGCACAGGTCAACGAGGTTACACCAGAATGAGACAAATTCAAAATTAAAAACAAAAAATGATCACAAAAGAATGGGGAAATGTAAATCTCTGTTTACCTAAAGGCAGTAAAATTTTTAAAAAGGCAGCTGTGATCCATGCATTTCTGTTCTTCCAAAAAAACAACAACACAAAACTCAACACAACCCAGCAGATTCACTTTGGAACTGAGGGATATGATAGTTGCAAAAACGGAATTAAGTTCCTCTGTTTTGGCATAGGGATACGTTAGCAGATGCACCTATCTGGGCCAAATAGTTCAGAGCAGCTTTTTCAGCTTCTCTCCGGCGACGAACCCGCTGTTGAGAGAGCCTGCTGAAAAACAACAACTTTCTAGAAAGTATGAAGTCGATGGATGGAATCCCTTTGCCCAAGCTAAAGCACAGGCTAGCAGAGAGGCAAAGAGATCAAACGATAACTCTTGTGCAAAATGACCACCAAAAAACTTTTCCTTATCACAAGAAAACAAAAACATCAAATTAAAAGAAAAGAAAAGATGAGAAATATTGTGCAACAATATTATGCAGCTAGGAAAAACAGTGCTATTCTTAGACCTGCCTTTTCTAAAGTCTAAAAAGTGTATGAACATACATGCCAGCACAAATATTTATTGTCACCTCCACGGCAAAGAAAAGACCCCTTTTGTGGTGGGCTGTTAAGATCTCCAGCCACAAGCAGATCCCAGATCCTCGGATGCACAGAAAGCAGAGGCTGTAGAGTGGCTCCCACAGAACCCCACAGACCAATTCCACCCACGAGATGTGCCGCTGTTTGGCTACCGCCCGAACCCTACGCACTCAAGCACTGCTGCAGCTGCCTTCCTACAGCGCCCATCCCCAGTGCCTGGGGAGCAAGCCACAAGCCAGGGTGTGGGGAGCAGCAGGAACCAGAGTGTTCAAATTTAGGTACAGGAGGGGCCACCACTGCAACTCCATGGCGTTAACTGAGGGTAGCAGCAAATTTGGACGTATGGCCATGTGCCGGATTCCCTACCGAGAGCTGTTCTACTTCCTGCACTCTCTGCGTGTAAGGTTTAGGACTGCAGCCTTAAAAATTCATGCACCGCCTCGAAGGCAGCGAAAACCATTTCACTTGCTGGTATCTGGAAGATTCTTTTTAGACAGGGATATTTTGCAATCCAGGACTGCTTTTTCCTCAAAGTACGTGAATAATGTTTGATTATCTACAGTGGGAGAAGAGACACCATGCAAGTGATGAGTACTGCATCCTTTTAAAACTTTAAAATCTTTTTTTTTTGTCATTAGTGAATTTATATTTCATATATATATATTTGATGTGATACTATCCACTCAAGATAATACAACACTTTTGTTTTTTATATTAGCAAACATTACAAGAGCTTAATATTCTTGAATGTTTCTCTTTTATACTTCTAAAGAGATCAAAATAAATTAAAGGTTTTGTACATAATTACAGAAGTAGTTAACTTATTTTATCTTTTTAGTTTAGTACAAAGACACCTGCAAGTTCGTTGCCGAAATACACCTTATTTATAAATTTCTTTTCATTCTAAACTCTAATAATTCAAAGCTCTTTTCACCTTTGCACTTTCAGCATTTCCAAGGGAGGAAGCTGATAAAAACTCTTAAATTTGAAAAGGTGCTGTTTTTGGGTATTTTCCTCGTACCTCAATGTAAGTTTCCTAAGACGATGAGATAGAAAGTGGCTTAAAACTAGTAATGGATCCATACTGGAAAAGATTTTTATGGACATTTAAAAACAAGCAAACCAAAACAATTCAGTCATCTTATGAGCTGTTTTAGAAATATCCACTTGGAGGGCAGATTTAAAAAAAAAAATTTTTTTTAGCTACTTCAGTTTAACATAAAATACAAAGCCATATTACTCAGAAAGCAGTATCATCCCAATAAGCAAAAAATAATTCTTTAAAAAAGTCTAATAATGGGTTTTCCAACAAACTGAAGGCAGTACCCCAAAGTCCTTCTGTGCTAAAATGTAGTGGTAAAAGAAACACATTTCACATTTTATGTCCTGCCAATAACGAGCACTTCAAAAAGTCCTAATAGAAACAGTTCCGTTCTGAAGAGAGTTACTTCCTTTTCAGCACATTGTTCAGTGGACGTCAAAAAAAAATTTATACATCTAGAGTAAAGTCCATGGAAGCCTTAAAGATACAAGACTACATGTTGTAGGCCACATAGATGGGATCTAGCTGGTCTGCCAAAAATCCATCTCGTAGGTGCATACGTTGTTTCTCTCCACGGGAGTTGATAGGAATTACACCAACGTCCACCACTACCACCACTCCTACAATCAGGTAATGCTCCTCCAGGACCACATTGGTGACCAAAGGAACCAGGTCTAAGGCTTCTTGCTCTGATCCATCGAGCTCAACAACAACGACCAACAGATTTGTCCAGGTAAACACCGCGCTGAAACCAAAAAGAGGGAATTTATTTTACTTATGCCAGTCATAGTCTGCCTTTCTCACTGCAAGTCAAGGCTGATTACGCAGTGTGAGATGATATCAATAAACAGGAATGGGACATCCAATAAACAATACAATAAAGGTTTGCAAATGCGCATCATTATCAGGTAGGCCATTTGCCAGTTCTCCCCTTGCTTAATTTGCAGCACGGTCCTTGCAACTGTTATCCCAAAGTTGCCCTCAAACATTCAGCTATACTCTTCATTTTCCTGGCACACACTGGAAGCTATTCTGACCTTCTGGGAGAGACAGGACATCATGTGGAAAATAAATATGCTGTTCTCGGTGTCCAAGATCTCGGAGAGAGACCTGAGATATAAAATTTCCAAAAATTTTGAATTCAGTCTCCCTTCGTCCCGGGAAAACATGACACGTATGCAAGTATTGATTTTCTTCTGAACCTAAACTTGTTTTACTGATTGAACAATGCATCGTTTATAAATTGTACTATTTAGCATACTTATGGAATTGAAAAAGTATAAATCTCTTGATTTTCTATAAGAAAAATTCCATGTATACCCAAGTACTTGAGAGAACTGTAAACTGCCACACCCTATGCTATTTAAGAGGTAGGGAACAAATTCCATAGCAAACGAGAGAAAGGGTATTATTTGGACTGAAACACAGACTGTTGCAATAGGCAGGACTACTGGTCTATTTGGTTAGTAAGGTAAACCTTAAAACAGTGAAAACGCTGAACTCTTTAATGACATACTACCAGGGGTCGTTTCGTAGAAAAAGAGCTAGGGGGACTCATTAGCATAACTCATTAGCATATGCCACACCCCCTGACATCACCGGAAGTGTGTCATAAGGCCACACCCCCTGACATCACCGGAAGTGTGTCATAAGGCCACACCCCCCACCCCCAACGG